AATCCCTTTTTTTTTTAATAAAAGTAAAACATGTAAAACTCCATAGAAATATGAAAATTGACTTATCTAATATATCATTTTAATCTAAGTGAAACTCTAGATAACTCTCATAGTTATGAAATGGAGGAAACAATGCATAATTCCTACAAATAAGAATCATATTTCAAAACTAACAAATTTGTTAAATTATTTCAAAATTCAAGTGTTAATTTCAATTAATAATATATATAATATATAATTAATTATCCCCCACCCAACCCCACCACCATGTTCTTGCGCCCGCCCAACCGCAACTTCACCCCACTTGTAAAAAAGTTTCAAAAATTGAAAATCTTTTCTGAATACCCACCCCACCCTTATTGCCAAAAATAATAATAATAAAAACAAAAAAAAAATTCTGAAAATTAAAAATTGGAAATAACACCCCCAGCCCATCCTATCTCACCTCCCAGAAAATTTCGAAATATTAGAAACTGAAGATTACATCCCACCTTACAGAATCACCCCACCCTACCACACCCATCTAGAAATTTTCCAAGTCAATGTATATAATTAGGTCACTGACGTGTTATTCGCGACTAATTGTGACCAAAATTGTATTCAATGTGATCAAATTTGTATTCAGTATGATAGCCTATGACCAAGTCAATCTTAATTGTGACGATATGTGATCAAGTCACAATCAATCACAATTAACACAAAATTGGTCACAACCTTTACAAAAACAAATACTTGACCACAAAGAGTCACCACAAACAAATCTTCACACTATAGACCAACACTATAATCCAGCACCACAATTTCCCACCACCACCATCACCTCCAACTTTACTACATTATTGACTTGTGTTATTCGTGACTAATTGTGACCAACTTTGTCTTTATTGTGATTACCTGTGACCACATCAATCTAATTTGTGACTGTATATAATCAAGTCACATACAGCCATGGTTCACATAGATCTAGTCATAGATAGTTACAATGAAGATAGACTTGGTCACACTTGATTTTCGTCACCACTCCCAACAACTTCAACCAAATGACAACCATCAATACCTTCAACAAATTCTAACCACCAACACCACTGGTATCACCGCACCACTGCCACCAAATGAAAGATTCGTTGCTCATAGCTGCAAGCAGTGGCGCCTCCTTTGAAGCCTCCAAACACCAGCCAACCACCACTCAAGCCGTCAAACTCCACCACTAGCATGACCACCTCAACCTCCTCTACAAACCTCGACCAACATTCATGCCTAACACCTTCCCAAACGTACCAAAAATCAAGCCAAACACCAGTAGCTATAGACTATCTTTTGAGCAACACCACCTCCGACAATGCCCATGCCAGTATCGCCACCATTGCCACCACCTCCTTCAATCCATCAACTCGTTACCATAACCACCACCATAACCCATACACCACACCACACCACACCACACCACAAATTTACAGATTCGCACAACCACCACGTATATTTGCACCACCACCACCCTACAGCTCGACATCGCATTATACTCGCAAAGAATTCACGGTACACAGTTGCAAATCTCACAATGATGCCTAACACGTGATGTTTGTGTTGCACGCAACCACTGGAAGAGAAGGAGTAGTGACGCTAGGAATGACCAATCGAAAGAGAGGAAGAGGGGCCACATGAAAAGAGGGAGAGAGAGGGTAGAGAGAGAAGGGATAATGGAGAAGAGAGAGAGAGGACGAAAAATGATTTGGGGGTCTTAGGTTGAGGTGGGGTGCGTTGTGTTGGGGTGGGGTGGGTTGGGTTAGGTTAGGTCGGGTTGGAGTAATTTAATTTTATTATTTTAACTAATCTTGTTTACCACCTAATTTTTGAATTTAAAACTAATCCTCCTTGATTATGAAAATTAATCTTTAAATGTAGATTTCTGGGTAATTTTCTCTATAATCGAAGCCGGTGGGCCTAAAAAATTTACGACCTAGGCCCTTCATCGAGCTGGATGAACTTATCTGACTGGTCAGCGATTTAACCGACCAAATTCAGTTAAATTATCGAATTTTGGGTCAGATCGATGGCCAGATTTTATTGGGTTTTCAAAGGTCAAAGAAAAATTAGTTAACAAATGAGGGACTGGAGATTGGAACCCTTGACTTTCTCCACCCATAAAGTGAGCAATCAGCATATTGTTTGAATTTATTGTATCTTCTATTATCTTCAAATATTATTCCAAAAATATTATAATCCTGCCCTTATTATACATAAATTTAATATTCAAGTAAAGAAAATGTTACCAGCTTTTTATCAAAGAAATCTTTAATGGATTTGTAATGTATAGATAAATTAATTTTGGCTAAAGTGTTTGCTTGATAATAGATATATTGTGTAAATAAAAAAATGAGAAAAATATAAATAGAAATTCTATATTATGCAAAAATTATAAAATTGAATTATAAATACTGTAGAACAAATAAGTTTATAATATCAATAAGTTATATACATGAAAGTAAATAGTGACAAATAAATGAAAAACTTTAATTGTCTCAAGAGAAAATTTTTAATTTCAATTAAAATAATTTTTTAAGAATTGACACATCGGTTCCATTGATGACCTATCAATTCAATCAATAAACTGACAATGACCTAATGTCTTGATTAGGTCACTAATCTTGAGGTCGAGTCTTATAACTATGTAATGTTGATTTTTCCCCTTAATTTATTACATTTGCTATAAGAATTTCTTTAAATATTGCCTACTTTTACTTATATATGATAATTTAAAAAAATAAAATAAAATCACGAAGGTATTGGAGATGCTTGTAATCGTACAATAACACTAGCTCCGTCCTAAAACTATTTTTTAGCAATCTTTTCACCGCACCTTTTTAAATAGTTTTTAGCATAAATGAAAGAAAGATGTGGAATATCACAATTATTTGGTCAATTTGTAGACAAATCTAATACTGTCAAGATTATTTGAACAAGTAATAACGACGGTTAAAATAAATCATAACTCAATTTTAGTCAAGAATATTTAATATATTAAATATTGAACATTTAATCGAAAAATTTTATGCCGTCTAAAATTCTATAAGATGTTCTCGATTTTGTTAACTTTTTATGTTTGTCATTTTTCTAGCTGTTCTTGGACGAATTTCTCTCTTTGCAATAAAACTGACTCTTCTCTTTTGTTATTTTGATTCATAACCTCTCTTCACAGTAATTTGAGGTCCAAAATTGAAGTACTTTTACATTGATCTGGCAGATAATTCACTTATTTTATAAGCTATAAAATAAGTAATTACTTGACTATAGTGACCATGACAAGGACTCAAACAAATTGGTCCATTGTCCATTAGAAATGGACTAATTAAAGTTAAAACTTTATATTTTAAATTATACTTTTTCTTGGTGGTGAAGATTTGTTTTATTTAGTTGTCTGGTCTAAAAAGCCGGCCATTTATCTGCTACCCTTTTAAACATCGTTGCCTTGACAAGGCAAACTCTTGTCCATCAATAAGTATTTATTTGAAACGATTTTTTCTTAGTATCGAAAAACTTACAGAATTTTGAAACGGAAAAATCATGTCTGTCTATGTTTTATGTTTTTTCTATCTTTGAATGATATTTCGACACGTGTCTGTGAAAAAATTTCTGTCCAAAAATCCTGTACTTGTAGCATAACTGTATTTGAAATTTTGAAGTTGTACGACAATATTTTCGAAATGCAGAATGGCATACTTATTGGTTCATAAATTCTTTTAATTTTACAGTTTTTATATGTTATTAGACTGATCTTTAGACCCTTTTTCTATTTTTCTAGTCGATCAATTCTAATTCTTGTAATAGAATGAAGAATAATGAAAATATCGTGATCTGTCCATTCGTGTGGTCACTCCTTTGCAAAGTTGTCGCACCACACAATTGAATCATGTACCACTCTTGAATAATTAATTTTTGGAAGTATTTATGAATTTAATTATTGTTACAATTGAATCATTTGTCATTCATTTCCCTCTTAGATTATTAAATTTAGTTATTGTTAAACTAAATGAAATATCAAGATTGATTCACCGTCCGACTTTAAAAATGTTGATAAAGTGCGGCGTTGTTGGTTGAAATTTTCATAATTTCTTCGCTATTTCTCAAATGTTCTGAAATAAGGGATCGTTTGGTACATGAATAGGATTAAAGTACAACATGACGCGAATTATATTGTACACATAATGTGTAATTTTTATTATATATTTTAACAAACAATCATATGACATATATTTGTCACCTTATATATAAGAGTAATGTTATTTGCAGTTATTCATTGTTATAGTTGTCCTATATGACATATATGTGACGATTAGTGATTTGATACATTAACCGTCACATGTATGCCATCACATAGGTGACTGCGATAATAAGCGACTGCAAAGAGTATTATTCCATATATAAAGTAAATCTAATAACAATTTAAATTGATAATTAATGATAAATATTAAGATAGAATATTGATTAATGTAATATTTTATCAAAATATTAGAAGATTTGCAATTTGATAACAATCATCATTCATTTAAAAAATTAGATATATTTAGAAATTTAAAAATTTCACAAAATATAAAGTTTAACTTCTCACGAAAGCTGAATTTAAAGCTTTTTTAGGGAAGTTCGAAATTACAGTTTCTCTATGAGTGTTTAAAAAACTAAGAAGCACTTATGACTTTAAACAAACATTAATAATTTCAACAAAAAGCAATTTTTACTCTCTAAGAAGAATCACTTCTGAGCTTTAAAAAAAAAACCCTCTAAAGTCCAAATACAATAGGAGTGATTCAATAAGGCTATTTCCACTTGATATTGTAGGTTCGCCGTATTTATGAATTAAGCTTCTCTTTTTTTCTCTCTTTTCAAGATAAACGGTTCGCCCTTGTATCTTTATATAAAGACGATCTAATACGTACGAACTGTCCACATTAGCCTACAACATTAAAATTTCGCCTTAAGGACTCCCGTGCCTAAACCTCCAATCTGGGAGTATCAACTCGTTGATCTTACCGCTAACGTCCATTGTAGTAAAGGAAGAAAAAGTAAACGACAAAATTAGACTATACATATCCAACATCGAATTCCATAGCTTTATTCTCGAATTCCATGACATGATTTTATTATTAATAATTTTTTTTTTATTTTGTTTCAATTTTGAATTTCCATTCTACAACAAGGACAATGTGCATTGCTCTCTAGCCATGGTACCAAACACTTTGAATGGAATCTATGGGCACATGGCAACTGCATTAGGGTGTCTCCTGCCATAAGATGCTCCAAACACACTGCACATTCCTCTTGTTCTGTACATTTCCAGCTTAGTTTTGCCCAATTAAACTTTTTCTTTAATCCAAAAACTTCTGTCCCTTCAATTGTAGGGCTCACCTCCAGATTTCTTGTCCTTTCTTGCCCACTCGAAACCCTACATTTGATTAAGAAATATGAAAAACAAACCCTCCAAATCAAATTATTGAAAATTTGTGGATGTCATGAAATGTGGGATAAAGATAAAATTTGAACAGTTAAAAAGTTGACAAAAATATTAACAGTAATTTTGTCAAACAAACACGTAATAACACTTTTTGCATGCTCGACTAGATTGGTACATAATTTACACCCGTATGTTTGTATGATAAGTTGGATTGAACTACAAATGATGCCAATTGACAAATTTTATTGCACATCTCTATAATTTATTTCCGTCGAGAATTATTTGTGCCTAAAATGCAATATAAGAAGGAAACATAACTTGTGAGTACGATTTTGATAATGCTACACTAATAGGGAGGCTAGCCTCCCTGACCGAACACTCACAATACATGGTTGAACCCACTTTTTTCTTGTATTTTTTACTCAAGAGGATCCCATGCTTGTGAGAAGCTGTCATGGCTTTTGTCATCCATTTTCGATCACTTTTGCTCAATCCATAAGATTTATCTGTTATCTTATCTAATCAGAAGAATTGCATTTAGCCTTGTTTGAGCTACATTTTTTTTTTTTTAGAAAAATGGGTTTTGTATTAGTGATTTTTGGAGAATGTATGGTTAGAAAGTATTAAAAATTTTGGATTCACATGTAAAATTATTTTATAAAAAAATGTGTGGTTGAAAATGAGTATTGAAAAAATTGAGGCTCAAATAGGGACAGAGGGAATTTAATTAATTATCGAAAAATCAAGAACTGATATTAGAGTGTTTGTTAATTTATAATGCAAAATCAAATCTTGGAATTTATACTAATCAAAGATTACAATATCTCATTCTAATAATTTTTTTTTTCTTTTTTCCTTTTTGTTGTGGTTGTCTTATTGACTAAAAATGAAGATTTGATTTTTGGGCATTTAAATTACCAGATATTGACTAAAAAGTTAGTTAATAAATTTGTGTTTATAGCAAGAAAACATAATTTACTTTTTTCTACTTGTAACAAAAAAATAAAAAAAATAAAAAAAAATTAACATGCTCAAACATATTATTACCTTTTGATTTCTGATTTCCACTGTGCTTTCAGCCTCTCATCCAACCTTTTCTTAGCTTCTCTAGCCACAGCCCCTAGCTTTTCATCACAATATGCCTGGCTTATTGGATTCCTCTGTTATTTTCAATAGAAAAAAAAACCCTGAAATTTCATAAAAATCGTACAAAAAAATATACATACATATAGATACAAAAAAAAAATCCCATAAGAAAATTTCGATTTTAGTACCGAGGAAGAGGATGAACTGTGAAGGGTTTCATGATTGCTTGAATATAAACAAAAAGATGAACGTCTTGTGAAGTTATAACCAGATGGGTTTGGAGAATCAGAATGGAATCTTCTTCTTCTTGCAGATTCAACTCCAGGAAGCATACCAGCCATTTAGATGGTTATTTACTGGGCACAAAATAAGTGATTTATGTATAATTAGCTGTAATAGTTATTACAACTCTCGAGTGAATTCTGATTTTTCTCTCATTTCTGATCTGAAGATGATTATGGGAGGAAATTTCTTGGAAAATGAGGTGATTGATAAATCATGGGAATTAATGGGAGATGGTGTAGGTAGGTAAATAATGAAAAATAATTGGAGAGACAAGACAACAGTGGGATCCCACCATTGATATGATTGTGATTGTAGCTTTCTTGCATTGTGTAAACTATTAAGGAAAAAACGAAAGTTTTCCAGATGCTATGTTGGCAGTATTTGATTTGATCTATTTTGCTTGTGTTATTTGCCATGAATAAATGAAGAATGATTAAGTGTATATCTGTAAGAAATGCGCAAAGTAGAATCTGATCACCTAGCATGAGTTTTGCTACAAGTAGTCGGAGTTTGACACTCCGAGTTATCTGCTACTCGAATGAGGTTTGGGTCCACATGCTAATAAATGTGTGGGGCCTGACCCCCTCACTCACATCAAGTAACCCGACGTGTCAAATGTCGAGTACAAATAACATTTTTCACCTAGCATACTCCAAACTATAAACTTATCTCTATAAAGTATAAACTGAAGAATTTGAAAGAAAAAATGTGCAACGTCGGCCTTGTGACTAAGCAAAGCCTAACCTATGTATCATCTCTAACACGATGTAGTCGTAATATTTAAATACTAGGATGATCGTGTCCTGTTAGAGAGTGTATAGCCACTATTCCTTGCACATGGATGTCGGCTAGAGGCTCATTTAATTACCTTGATCCATGCGATTGTCAGACTAATTCCCGTATGCCATATTGTGTTTGGTATTCCATTTGAAAACTGATTTGAAATGAAGTATCTAATTATACTGGTTGCGTGTAAATTCAATCGTACCCTTTTCGTGTGACTTATGCTTGTGAGTGGATATTCAATACTAAGATTGGATTATGATCAATTTTTCTTTTTTATCTTTGGTGATGATTAAGCTCATCAAATTAGGTTGATGTGTCATATCTTGTGTTACACAAGCTTTGAATGACAAACTATAAAGCATGTTATATGCTTATCCAAACTTGCTACTTGTGTAGTGGGTTAGGATTTTCTTGTTTTATTTTATAATTAAAAATGCAACTCATGCATATAAAGTATAAACCTTTTGTGTATAAATGAGCGTGACAACCATTATTATTTTTAATAATTTATACAAATTACGCTACCACTATGTGTAGTTATTGATTATTATATTGACATCTGTCCCTTATGAAATATTATTAAAGAAAAATATTTTAAATAGTTGAAATTCGAAAGTGGCTCACTAAAAATATCATTTATATAGTGGACTTCTACTTTGGGCCGAGGCCATGCCACCTTTAATGACGACGCTGTTGGGTTAACAGGGCCGAGATCATTCAAATTGAACTTTGCCATTAACAGAGGCTTCTAAATTATGGGCCTAAGCCCAATTTTGTTCACGACAATGAACTATTATTGGGCCAAAAATAAATGGCATTGGGCAACTTACAAAAATACTGTTCAACAGCCACTTTCTTCGACAAATAATCACTTATTATCACAAGAGACACAAGAACATTGCAGTTTCAACTTGTTAAGGTTCTAAATCACCATGGTTACGAGCAACAAAACCCTGAAATTTCATAAAAATCGTACAAAAAAATATACATACATATAGATACAAAAAAAAAATCCCATAAGAAAATTTCGATTTTAGTACCGAGGAAGAGGATGAACTGTGAAGGGTTTCATGATTGCTTGAATATAAACAAAAAGATGAACGTCTTGTGAAGTTATAACCAGATGGGTTTGGAGAATCAGAATGGAATCTTCTTCTTCTTGCAGATTCAACTCCAGGAAGCATACCAGCCATTTAGATGGTTATTTACTGGGCACAAAATAAGTGATTTATGTATAATTAGCTGTAATAGTTATTACAACTCTCGAGTGAATTCTGATTTTTCTCTCATTTCTGATCTGAAGATGATTATGGGAGGAAATTTCTTGGAAAATGAGGTGATTGATAAATCATGGGAATTAATGGGAGATGGTGTAGGTAGGTAAATAATGAAAAATAATTGGAGAGACAAGACAACAGTGGGATCCCACCATTGATATGATTGTGATTGTAGCTTTCTTGCATTGTGTAAACTATTAAGGAAAAAACGAAAGTTTTCCAGATGCTATGTTGGCAGTATTTGATTTGATCTATTTTGCTTGTGTTATTTGCCATGAATAAATGAAGAATGATTAAGTGTATATCTGTAAGAAATGCGCAAAGTAGAATCTGATCACCTAGCATGAGTTTTGCTACAAGTAGTCGGAGTTTGACACTCCGAGTTATCTGCTACTCGAATGAGGTTTGGGTCCACATGCTAATAAATGTGTGGGGCCTGACCCCCTCACTCACATCAAGTAACCCGACGTGTCAAATGTCGAGTACAAATAACATTTTTCACCTAGCATACTCCAAACTATAAACTTATCTCTATAAAGTATAAACTGAAGAATTTGAAAGAAAAAATGTGCAACGTCGGCCTTGTGACTAAGCAAAGCCTAACCTATGTATCATCTCTAACACGATGTAGTCGTAATATTTAAATACTAGGATGATCGTGTCCTGTTAGAGAGTGTATAGCCACTATTCCTTGCACATGGATGTCGGCTAGAGGCTCATTTAATTACCTTGATCCATGCGATTGTCAGACTAATTCCCGTATGCCATATTGTGTTTGGTATTCCATTTGAAAACTGATTTGAAATGAAGTATCTAATTATACTGGTTGCGTGTAAATTCAATCGTACCCTTTTCGTGTGACTTATGCTTGTGAGTGGATATTCAATACTAAGATTGGATTATGATCAATTTTTCTTTTTTATCTTTGGTGATGATTAAGCTCATCAAATTAGGTTGATGTGTCATATCTTGTGTTACACAAGCTTTGAATGACAAACTATAAAGCATGTTATATGCTTATCCAAACTTGCTACTTGTGTAGTGGGTTAGGATTTTCTTGTTTTATTTTATAATTAAAAATGCAACTCATGCATATAAAGTATAAACCTTTTGTGTATAAATGAGCGTGACAACCATTATTATTTTTAATAATTTATACAAATTACGCTACCACTATGTGTAGTTATTGATTATTATATTGACATCTGTCCCTTATGAAATATTATTAAAGAAAAATATTTTAAATAGTTGAAATTCGAAAGTGGCTCACTAAAAATATCATTTATATAGTGGACTTCTACTTTGGGCCGAGGCCATGCCACCTTTAATGACGACGCTGTTGGGTTAACAGGGCCGAGATCATTCAAATTGAACTTTCCCATTAACAGAGGCTTCTAAATTATGGGCCTAAGCCCAATTTTGTTCACGACAATGAACTATTATTGGGCCAAAAATAAATGGCATTGGGCAACTTACAAAAATAGTGTTCAACAGCCACTTTCTTCGACAAATAATCACTTATTATCACAAGAGACACAAGAACATTGCAGTTTCAACTTGTTAAGGTTCTAAATCACCATGGTTACGAGCAACAAATTGAATGTTTGTATTTTCTTTCTGAAGGAAGTTTTAAGTTTTTCCTCCAATAATATCGTTCTGTATGAGGTGGTAATGTTGTAAAGTAATTGTTTCGCGCGGGTAGTCGCTAACAATTAAAAAGGAATCAGACGATTGTGTAAGGAACAAACCTTTTGAGACAAAGTCTCAAAAATAAGTGTTTTATTGGCGATGATTTACAATTGGAACTAAACAGAATGCCTCCAAGGGGCGCAAACACACGAGTACTGAAAGAAATGTTTATGTTTAAACTAAAAAATTGAAATTACATATTCTCTGTTTGAGAGTGTTTGATTCGGGGTTTTTTCTCTCTATGTCTTCTCTTCCTTTTATATTCCATTGATGATTTTTTCGTGACAAACCGCTTGGAAACTGCTTGATTGCTTTATAACTACTCACTTTCTTTATGGTGGCTAACTTGACATGGAATTGTCGTCTTTAACTGCTGTCACTACTCTT